GTTGTATATAGTTATTGTTAAAACAGTAATATACACCAGAGTAAATGTGGAATATTCTTTATTTTGTTGCTTGTATAACTGTGAAATAGTGGTTAATATTATTAAGGGTTTTGTATTAGAAATATTTTTTCTGTTATGTCATATCAAAAAAAATATTTTCAAGAACAGTACCAGTACCTGTGATATCCACAAACAAATGTGACAGCTGAATGGAGTTACATGCTTTCTGATATTTGAACATTTATTCCATCTGATTTTTACTAATATCATGGCACATAAACAATATAAAATAAATATCTTGTAATTATTCAGAACAATGATTGCGGAACAAATGGAGCGCACATGACGCTACAGGAGTTGCAGTTGAAAAAATATTTGACAGCTTCTTTCGACATTTATGAGCATTTGCCTGTTATTTTTTGGCTGCCTTTGTAATTATTCATTTAATAAAAAAAATCATCAACTGGTTTACTATATGTGCATATAAACGTGTTCGGCATTCTAAGAATTGAACAAAGCTGTTGATGTATATATATATATATATGTGATATAAATTGTCATTCAAGTAATAACGAATTTCATAGGGCACCCGATGTTTATGATAATGGAAACCGGATCCCAGCACGGTAAATTAATATTCCAAAAGTACTGAACACTTTTACATTGATTCATTTGTTTGTGTTGATTAATTACTGCTTCTGATGAAACACTGCTGGTTTATATCTGCATGAATGACAGTCATGTTAAAATCAGCATTGATAATGCTGCAAAAGGCAATGTCCGTTTTATCGCCTTTTAATTGTGTCAGATACCAAGACAAGATCACCAAAGATATCGTGCTTTTTTCGGTTATGTATTTTGTAATTTTTATAATTGGACCGTTTGTCATTGAGTTTATTTTTCTTATTGCCCAAATATCGTCGAATAAACGTAATAGTTGTTTTTTAGATATGGGATACGGAGCTACATTATAAATATGATCGCATTAAAAAAAAAATATTTAAAGAAGAATATTTTAGACTGCCTTGAGCAATCCTAAAAATCCTCAAAGCAACGCATTGGTTATCTAACAAGCTGAAACTTTACTCGAGAAATGTAGTCGAGATTAATCTAATCTCTGCACTCTGCATTGCTTTACTAAACAGTTGAAATGTGCCTCGAAATAAAATACTTGGTTCTTATGAGCAAAATTTGTTGTTGAATAGAACAAAAGTCATACCTCTATCAACGATTTCGCTTATTCCTAGAACATGAAAATCAAATGAAATGCATAGCCGATTTACGATAAAATTTAACCGTGTCCGTGGACTAATCCTCGAGCCCGGCTGCAATGCTCATTGTCCCAATATCATTTTATCTGTTTGATTTAATCCGCCACGCTGCTGCAGCTGTCCACTAAATTTCAAACTTTATCCGTTTTCTGATACCTTATCCATTTAGCTTCTTTCTTTCCCGCTAATTTTGTGCGAATATTTCCAACTTGCATACTCCTGCACTCCACTACGCGCCTATGTTTCTGCATCTGCTTTCCCATCCGCACCTGTTTTTCCTGCATCCCCATTCGCCACTACGTATCAATAATGTTTTTGCTGCTTTGTCCGCTTTTCGTTAAGTACCGTGGTCGCTCTATCACACGTCCACTACATTCTGTATTCTCTTAGCGGTTGTATATATAGTCATTCTGGAAATTTTTGTTGCATAACAATATCTCATGCTTCAATCGTATCACTACTGACGACGAGAAGTAATCCGTATAAGATTGCATATTATGATAAATGATTCTTCCTGACACCAAAGCGTATATATAATATGCCTGACACTGCTCTACAAAAGTGAACGTGCTTTGTGGTGACGGGGCTCAGTTTGTTATTATCAAATACAGGAGGAAACAGATAAAAATAAATCATAACTCTCCCTTCATTCAGTCCAATCATTTGATTCACCAAATAACTCGGAAAACGACGCAGACCTACAAGTATAAAAAGAATTATTCATCTTCATACTATTTTTATAATAGACTTATTATTTCACATTCTGACGATTTGCATAACGCACTCGATGAAAAATACCGTTTGTCACAGATTCGAGAAAATTAACACACGTTCATGGAATTACGGCCTTGTAGCTGACATCATACGGTAGACAACATATCAAAGCTTTCTAAAAATTCCTGCATGTTTTAAAGTTTGTTTGCTAATGCAAATGTGCGGGTTGCAAATGCTACGTAGTTGCAAATGTGCTGCTTGCTTTTAATCTACAGAATTTCCCCATTCAATGCAGGAGCTTCAGCAAGATTTTGTAATCAGTGAAAGAAACCTTAAGAAGTGAATCTCTTAATTGCCATTGGTTCGGAAGTTTTATCCAAATTTGAAATTATTTATCAATTTAAATGCTTTATTTGAAACCGACTCGTGCAAACTGAAATTAAAAAAGGGAATGAATTTTAACGCTTGGACTTAATTTTTATAATACATAATGAATCATAAAACAACATCAGCTTATTCTAGTGCAGAGCAGTGAATCAAGTGTACATCTACGGATATAAAATCACGTCGTGTTTGCATTTCACTTGGTACATCGAGCTACCGACGTCTTTTTGGCATTGTATCATTTTCAGATCTTCGAAATTTTTGCTTTATTAGTTTTTCGCCTTCACACCCGCATAACCGACACCAGTACACCTACACAGTAAAAGTCATCTGCTTCCCCTGCCGCCGACATCATTGTGACACAGCCATTGTTATTTCCACATAGAGTAATAGTATTAGACATTATTAGACCACAGCAAGAATTTTCCATAACTTGTACAGATTTAGTTTTATAATTTCCTTTTATCATATAAAGTTCTGATTGCACGACTATTTTCAATCGTTCAATACGCCTGGGTCTAACGGTAGCTTGCAGAATGGCGTTGCCACAGTTTCGCAAAGGTTCAAAACCACTGATCTAGAGCGCATTAACTGCTGACCAATGACGTTCAAAAAAGTCGACTTGATGCTTTTTCAGGTAAATCAAAGCAATCAGATATTATACAGAGTTGCGGGATTTTTTAAATCCATTTGCATTTTTAGTTTTGCAACAAAGCAAAAACAGATTATACAATGTCATGTTCTACGTATGTAAGCAACCATATTTGTAATTTTAATGAACATAGAATGATTCGTATCAGTGTCATGACAATAAAATGTTCGAATATATCAATCGCACGGCCGAAGATTTTGCCAGCTTAAATAGAATTTGTAATGAGCATTTCTCACGATGTTGTGGAAAGTTTCGATTTTTGTTCAAACTTTATCTCACTATAAGTAATCGAAGGAACCTTTGAAGGCAATTCAGATATCCGGTGAAGTTCTTGAAACTGGGTTCTTTCACGAAAACGTTGTTTGTGTATTTTGCACTTCATTCAGCTTTTGCACAAATGTTTTTAGCTTTTTATGTAGACATAGCAAGTTCGGTATGGTATAGGAATGGAGAGGTTTCAAAATGGCAAATTAAAATCTGTTACACTCAGGAACTACGTACAAACCTTTACCTTTTTTTTTAATTTTGAATATTAGAAATGATTTTGTCTTTTAGGAAGTTTTTCTGATCATTTTAAATGACGAATAGGAAACTGAAAAACTCGGATGAAAGGCGTTTGGCTTGATTTACTATTTATTTCATTATCGCTGACGCTGATATATATGGATTATAATGGTAGCTCGAAGAAAAGTGTGAAGGAAATTATACCAGTAAATAAATGTTATGAATTCAGTGAAATGTGATGGCTATTTCTATTGTTCTATATAATGTGGACATCACATATTAAATCAAAACTAGATTCATTTAGTTTCTGTGATCTGTAATTAAGAAAAGTATAAGTTTATTTGAGTATTCTCGGGGAGTTTTCTTGTTTCCGCCAAGCTACTTTTGACTTTACGTGCATGAAATTCATTTAGATTATTATCCGCCAAGCACTTCAATAAAATCGCACTTTCACTCGAAGCAAGGCAAGCGGCCACTAAGTATTGCAGCATATCAAAAAGTTTTTGCTATCACTCATATCCGTGTACGAATTCTCGGCACAGAAGAAGCATGTGAATGAAACCCTATTGCCTTTCTTGTTTTCAAGTATTATTTACTTTCAACTTTGCGTTTTCCGCCTTACAATGCTCAAAAATTTTGCTAATGAAGGGAAATTTCGTCACTGTTTGGATGAATCGATCAATTTATAGGGGCGGAGTGCAAAAGAAACCGATAGGGTTGGTATTGTGATATAGCAACCAACATATAGGCAAATACAACCAACACATATATACAGACAACCAATTATACAAATGTAACCCTCTCATTATACACATAGAGCCATTCAAGTGATGTCCTCAGACAGCCAATCCAACAGCATTGATATATATTAGTATTCTTTTATGACTAAAATATTGCTAGGCCATTGGGTGTAAATTCGCCGCAAACAGATCAAATTATAGCTTTGTGCAAACTAACATTGCGTTTCATTTGATTTAATATAGCAATTAATTGAGCCTTTAATTTAATTCAAAGCCAAATAACTATTTTTATTCCTACCGGTTGGTGATTTTTGATCACAGCAATTCATTGCATTTTCCATCACAATATTTCAGCAAAATTAGCAACAAAAAATAATTTGCCGAAGCTTCAAAAATCAATAAAATGTAACGTGAGTAAAGATAGTATGCGTTAAACTTTAATATAAATAGTTTGTCGCCTGTTTACTATCATTTTTTTTGGACAAACAATTATTCGAGAGGGAATTCCAATGTCGTTGTTGTCACTAGCACATTACTTATGTTATGAGCGATCAGCAGTTTATGGGTTTTATGAAATTATAGATTGTGGTCATCTGTACGTATTCATCCACTACAAGCGAAGCGATATATACCATCGGCGCATTTCGCGTTCAATTATGAAATTCCTTCATCATTCGTTTCTGCGGGTTGCTTCCACGCAGACGTATTAATTGTGATAATTTTTTCTTTAAATTTTTACATTATTATTGAGCTTTATTTGCTTATCGGAACCGAAAGCAAAATGAGATTTCGACTTACATGCTGGATGTTATTACTGATATACTATCCACGATGTGAGTTTACTTTTTATATTTTTACTTTTTAATTAAATCCTTATTATAATGGATTCAATAATATGGCCTTTTATTTGGTTCTCTCTTTTCTCTTTTAATATATATATTTGTCGTTCATAAAACACCATTAGACGATTTTCCCCATATGGCAACGATTGAATACCTGTTGTAAAAAATTGATAAAAGTAACAATAAATGTTTTAGAAATGTGTATTTTAACATTCTGAAATGTGTAATCATATGTAGGAGATTTCTAGAACTTTTTTTGGGCTTTCCAAATATATAAACTTTTAATAATCTGTACTATTTCAAGCAAAGAGTCAATAAAATAAGCTGCCAGGGAAATATATAGTTGTGATAGACAGGTTTACAATAATTTTTGTACTGTTTGTGAAGCAAACTCTGCCACCCATAAATATCTAGTGGTCATGAAATTTCCAGCAAAAATTTGTGTATTTTTCTCACCAAAAATTGTTATTTACTTCTCTCTTTTTAAGGAATATGTAAATAAGAAATTGCTTTGTGTTGATATTTTTAGATATCAACAGCTCTTGTGTAAAACAGGCAGTTGAGGAAGGTCGAAAGTGCAGAAAGTCATGTTCAGTTGACAGTGATTGTACCTCAAAAGGTGGCCTCAAACGTTGCAGGTGCGATGGCGCGTGTGGTATGTCTTGTTTCAACCCAGGTGATTAGTTTGAATATGCTTAATTACCACAGATATAAATTTGACATTTCATTCGTGATGATTAGGTATAATATTTTGCAAAACACTATTCTGGGTATTCTAATAAATAAAATCTGGGCGACGTAGTTTGGAATCGCGCCATTTCAATGTAATGGTTCGATTCTAATTACCAACGACGTCATGACTTGAGATCACCTGAGGAATGGGTTGTATTTGGATCAAGGTTGACTTTACGATGTGATTTGATTTATCATTTATAAATGTGCTATCGTAGCTGGAAGTATTTTTTCCCATTACAATATTCTGAGGAGCACCTAATTGCATACTTAGAATTCCTATAAATATTTTCAATAAAGTACAAAATGATTCAAAGATTCAATTTTTCACTCAAATAATGAACTGCTTGGAACTTAAAAGGAAAGGAAAATAGTCATAATTAGGAAACAAGTCTCTTTGATTTATTGATTGCTGTGGGTTTCATCACGATATGAAAGGCTGAAAGATTGAATTGACCAGCATTGAAGAATTTTACTTTCTTCACCTGCACAAACGTTGACAAAACATTGAAATGGTATTTTCATTTTTGTAAAGATGCGTTGTGCCTATCAGAACCAGATGATATTCCTAACGGTTTTAGAACATGGAACAAGCTTACTATGGGAGGAAAGGCAACCTACCGATGTAACACTGGATTTATATTAAAAGGCGATTTTGAAACCGTTTGCTGTGCTGACAAGAAATGGCATGGCCCACCACCTACATGTGAAGGTAAGAATCGCACGAAACGACACATTATGAGTTATGATACACCACCCGTATCATTTCCGCGATATAAACTAATTATCAACCTGAAAAATTGAAAATAATCGATATTATTTTACTAATATTTTCCGCCCATACTTTCAGCTGGATGTTTGCTACCATCAAACACAGGAAATTCGTTTCCTAATGTTTCAGAAGAAACTGCAGCAGTTGGTGAAGTAATTCCTTTCATTTGTAATACAGGTATGTTTTCAGAAATTGAAACTGTACTCACATGTAATGTAAAGTTTTACTTTGTGAAATAACTCAGACCCTAAATAAACCAAAGTTAAAAGACTTTGCATGTTTATTATAAACTCTATCTCAAATCTACAGGACCGATATGAATTATATACATTATTTTTGCGTTTATGATGTCACAATCCGTACAATTTTTTTCAGTGCTGATTGCCAATTTAAACTTTGCATAGACTATAGCAGTGGTTCTTAAAGTTTTTGAGCCGCGCCCCTTATGAAAATTTTACAAACTTCGCTGAAAAATAAAGTATAGCTAATGACGTTTGCGATTGCATTTTTTTTCAAATCTTCGATTGTTTTTGTCAGCATGACATTTTATTTAATCCGCAAAAATCTTTATTTCGGTTTTTATTCTCCCTAAATCAGAAATTTTCCTTGACAAATGTTTCGTGTCGCGAAGACTATTCTAATTGCATTTTTTCGTTCTCGCGTGGAGCCATGACTACTGTGAGGAAAACGAGTTAATTTTTAATATATAATCATCAGCGGCGAGATGCTAAAGATAGAATAAAGAAGTGAATCCGTAACCAAAAAATTTATTGACTGAAAAAGCGGCATTATAAAATACTAAATATAAAACAGAAAACGCCATGGGTTTGTTTTGGGATGGACCGCGGTAGATTAAAAACACTTTCTTAGACATTTCACCTTTAGTGTTATAAAACTACCGACTTTAAATAAATTTTACTCCGTGGGATTTTATCGCAAACTTGGGAATGTCTCTAACAGTGATATCTTAAAATTAGTCCAGTGACAGAATTGCGCTGGCGCGGAGTAAAAATTGCAGAGACAGTCCATATTGGACTGATTTGCAGAATATGAATCAGAATAAACTGTAGTCGGACAGTTTTCAACGCATTTTTATGTCCGTGGATTGGTATTTTGGAACTGTTGATTTTATCGCAATTAAATAAATAAAGCAACTATTTTAAATATGTATATCGGTCACGGATTGTATATTTTCTTCAACCATTACAAAAATTTATTTTTGTTTATTATGTTTATTTTGTCGTGGGTCGCCGCAACAACGAGTTACCTTAAACACAAACGAATTGGAATATTTCGCCACACACTTTAAGAACCACTGTACTATAGCTTAGAGTTCAGAAGAAATTTGTCGAAATGTTTTGAGCAAGACAATGGTAACTTTATAAAACAAAAAGAGCAATTGTACTTCTGATATATTGTAACGATATAATGGGATTGATGCATTACAGGTTATCATATGACCGGTGACGGCGATCGAACTTGTCAAGTAAATGGTCAAATGTCCCGTGCGGAATATTCTTGTAGTATTCAAGTATGCGACACTCTGCCAACAGTTCATAATGGACACATAATCATGGAATCTTCACTTACCTTTGAATCAACTGTAAAGCTAGTTTGTGACACCGGTATTTCTATTAAAACAATAAACATGAAAATATTCAAGCCGGTATTTGTTAGGGTTGTTATTGACACTTTTATGAATAACCTATACGGCATATTAATATACTTTTCTGTTTCGTTGCTGTATTATTTTAGGCAAACATATTAATCCAAGGGAATAATATACTTATGTTTTCTTTTAATTAACGAGGGTATGAACCTGAATCAGAAGTCACCACCCTTCAATGTCGTGCCGGAGCTTTAAATTCTGCTAGTGGAAAATGGTCACCTGCCGATCATTTTCCAGAATGCACAGGTAAACAATTTTTCGCTCAAACTTTAAACTATACAGCAAACTACCATATAATCTCGTATGATTATATATAACCTGAGACCTAAAGAAAACTGCATTCAGCAGTGTTGGCTTTTATTGACAGGCAGTAATGATTAGGGTAAGCTCACGAAAAATTATCAGACGCACCGCATTGCCGTGATTTATACAGGTATTTCTCACAGCACGATTTCCTAAAGACTTCAAATCCGACCCCACTATAGTCAGGTAGAAGCAAAGAAATAAAAGTTCCGGCACATCAACACTCCACAAATATAAATATCAAGAACTAAAAAAAATGTGATAACTATGCTTTTTATATCCAATAAAATCATATGTATATTTCTTCAGCGGTAAAGTGCGGTTATCCCCGTGATCCAAAAAACGGCCGAGTATTGCATAGAGACGGTAATTGGGAATATGGAAATCGAATTACGTACAATTGCAATACTGGTTATAAATTAATTGGGAGTGATATAGCAAGCTGCGGAGCTGATGCAACATGGGGTGATTTGCCGTTTTGCGAGAGTAAGTTTTTTCTATGACATTTAATTTCAATTATTTTTCTATGTTGATGCAGAATTTGTTTTCTAGTACGACAGCAAAATACCATCGTGTCGGTGCCCCCCCCCCCCTTTTGAAATGTAAAAAAAATCAAATCATTTTTCTGTATCCTAGATAGCAATTTTCCGTAGCTTGAAATGCTTTTTAGACCCCCAAGACTACTAAAAACACGCCTATTCCAGCGTTCGATTGGACCCGCTAGCAATTTCGATCTAACTTGGCAAATTTTTTTTTTTAACCGCCCCCCTTTGAAAATTTCTGGCTAGGCCCCTGATTGAATGAATGCATATTATTACGACCTTGGGATTTGTCAGCTTAAGACAAATCCCACGCACTTGAAATTTTTAAGATATCACTGTTAAAAAAAAAACCAAGCGTTGCGTTAAAATACCAAAGAGCACAACCTGCAAATGAGCAAAGTATTCAATCCATGACCGTTACGAGCATATTTAAAATGTCTTGATTTATTAATTTAATTGTGTTCGATGTAACCTGCTTTTGTATCGACTAAAAATATAAAAGCTTTGATCCTCTATAATGACGGGGACAATGTATCCTAAAATGCGTGGAAATGTATCCTACGTCTTGTATAGATTCGTATTTCCCCATAAACTACAAAATTTGTCAAAGGCGACCTAACAAAGCGCTCAAACTTTTGCGATTTACAATGTCTAAAAAGGATTTTTAATCTGTCAGGGGACTGAGGGGATTAATTCCATCCGTTTTATTTTTAGTATTTTACAATGCCGCTTTTCAATCAAAAGATTTGGGTTGTAGATTCACTCCTTTATTATCCTTGCATCTCGTCGCCGATGATTGTAATATATACAATAATGATGATTATTCTTGTACGGCATTTGTTGCATCATGATCATGTTTTATTATAGTCGATCCTAACTGTGGTTTTGAAGAGTTTTCTGAACCTACATGTGGCTATTCAAATCCATATCCACGATGGGAAAGAATATATACCTCATCACAATACGATGGAATCCCTGGTAAGTCGGCTAATTTGTCATTTCATAATCTAATTTAGCATTATATACTCGAGTTTACTCAATAGTGTTGATAACGTTCCATACGTATTCAACCAAAATATGCATATAGCGCCATATCTTATACTTATACATGACATTGGATTTTGTGTGCGTATCACTCAAATGGCTATATATATATATATATCAAACCTCTATACATACGATATGCATATGACATTGACTTTTCTATGTTAATCTTTTTAACGGCAGTAGACTATGTGATATGACTTGATATGGCTCCTGTTGGAATATAACATAATATATGCACAGGGCATCAATTGTGTCTGTATATGCCTATTGCATTTACTCGTTATGTATATGAGGTGGCAGTATCTATATATGCATATTTTGGCTGTAATTGTATATCATGTTACCAAATCCACTTAATTTACATGCAAGGTGATCTTGTGCATGTAATTAAATGACAAAATATTTGGTCTATTTGCACCATCACACACTAACCGAACGTTTTGTTCTCGAAAACTTATTTATAATAGTATGACTTCTTTGATTATTCGTTTCAGGTTACATTATTCGTGCTACCACAAGTGGAACAGAATTGATATCAGCTGAAATACCTGATGACTGGAGTTCTGGGAAGATGTGCTTACAGTTTCGTTACAAGTTGTTGGGCAAATCAAGCCTACTGACTATATCATCAACGTAAAATATAATTTCCTATTCGTTTAGGCTTCTAGAGCAGTGGTTTCCAAACTTTTTAGAGTTGGGACTCACTATTTATTACCACAGTTTATGGCGACCCATTTAACTTTTTATGACATAACACAGAACACAGCGATGGCTAATCATTGCAAAACTACCGCGTTTCCTCGAAAATAAGACCTGGCCTGAAAATAAGACCTAATTTAAATTTTGAAAATGATTTTAAATAACCCAACCCTTAAAATAAATTTAAAATGTGTGGGAGAGGAAAGGTTCAATGACCTGAGGTAAGGTGATGATCACACCACTATTCAAGATTGTGTGATGTCACAATCACAATATTTTCACTTGATTTTTGTATAGGAAATACAAATAAAAACAATGGATGTCGGTTTTTATATAATGTTTATTAAAAAATCTCGTGATTTTCTACAATGTTATTTTTGATAAATGAACACAAAAGACCCCTTTAAAAAAACAAACACATATTGTTATTTTTCAAAAGAAAATAAATCCAAATCCTGTCTAAATTTCGGGGAAACATGGTAAAAAGTGCTGTACAGTGTACAAAACTACTATGTGTAAAAAAGCCACATGGTCATTCTTTGTGTAGCAATTTTTTGTTCCCTTTAGAAGATCGTAAAAAGATAACTTTCACAGATTAGAATTCAAATTAAATTCTTTTGTTTTTTTGAAGATTTTACGTATTCGTGTCGCCACCGATCCTAATACCCAGTATAATTAATAAAAGCTTTCTACATCTTTTCGGGACCCACTGAGATTCCTTTTGCAACCCACCGACCCATAGTTTGGGAATTATTCTAAATCACAAAACTCTTAATATTCTCTTGTTCATCCTCGCCCCTGATTATAAATCTGCCCAAGGCATTCAACATATGGGGTATATTGTACCCACTCAAATTTTTATACACATTTCCTCTTAAATCATCTGGCAATGTACATTGGTTTGCTTTTAGGTCAACCTCGTTCACTGCATTTTGGGGAAATCACATCAATGAGGCGAGAAACACTTGGTTGGATTCTCTGGTGAACATTGATTCATCAACATCTATCCAATACAAATTTGAAGCGAATCAACCAACAGTTGAATTGGATGATGTTCAAGTAAAAAAAAGCGGTTGTTGTGAGTAAATGTCCTTACAAATGTCTATACAAAAAAATCGATGAATATACACTGCAACATCTATATTTATATCACTTGAATCGGTGTTTATTGGCATTTTTGCTGAGCTGAAACCATGTTCCTGTCATTTAATTTTTGTTATTTATCGCAGAACTACCTACATATATATATATATATACCGTGTATATAAAACATGTATCTACCTGAATATAAGTTTCAATAGATATATGCCAAAATCAATAAAGTTGATGGAAATGAAATCACTAAAGTTTGTGAAAGCAAATCCTAGCAAGATTTTGTGCATTCAAAGAGATACCGCAGGATGTAAAAAAAGTTCAGAGACAACTGATTCTCAGACAACATATGGCATCGATTGCAGGAACGTGTAAATGTAGAAATTATATAATAGGAACCCCTGGCAGAAGTGGCAAAAATGAAATTTTAATAAGTAAGTGATAAAAGACGGTAATATTTCGAAAATATTATTTCTTGTTTTCAGTTGAACATTGTAAGAGTTACACTTGTCAAAATGGCGGATCCTGCGTGAATAGAGCAAACGATTACACATGCTTCTGCACAGTTGATTTTGAAGGAAAAACATGTGATAAAGGTTATCATTATTCAGTACTATCAATGCAATATACTCAAAATTTTTTCATTAGATTCAGATTCATATTCAATTTTCTGTGTTTCACAACTCAGATTTGAAATGCGTCGAACCAGTCGAATGGATTCAGAATGGTCGATTGTTACGCAACAATACTGGCCCTCATAATCTGTATATTACGGGAACAACTGTTACATATGGCTGCAACGCTAAGTTTAAAATATTTGGCAAATGTGATATTCAAACAGAAGAAACAATTACTTGCACAAAAGATAGTTGGGGAGGTGACAGTTTCTGGCGAAAAAATCCCAGGGACATTAGATGCATATGTAAGTATAATGATGAAAAACCTCAAACACTGAAAAATTAATTTTTAAATACAACATATAAAAAATGCATGTTTTTACCAAATGTTTTCGAATGTCACTCTGTGACTATTATGTAAAAAATGTAAGTTACTTTTCGAAAACTACCGTTTTTCCCCGAAGATAAGACAAGGTCCTAATTATCTTTTATTTTGAAAAATACCACTAGGGCTTATTTTGGGGGATGTATTTTATTTTCAATTCGAAAAAACAAAATTTCAAAGTAGAGGATTAGAAAATTTTCAAATATACAGAATATAAAAACCGATATCCATTTATGTAAATAACACGTTTTTATTTAAAAAAAAAAACCTGCTAAACATAGAGTATTTAAAAATGACCGTATCATCACCAACTGGAATGTCTTGCAATTCACTAGATTTGTAAATTTTAATGATGTTTCCATTTAACTGAATTTTCTTGCTATGGACTAGATCAGGGTAGTCCGAGATTGTCGGCTTCGCAGGCTACGCTATTATTTTTGTATTGTACCAGGAATAGGCAAACAGTGAAATACCAACTTTTATTGTCCAAACACATTGATTATTATTTGTCATTTATCATGCTGAACCAAGCAAAACCACTAAAAACCTAATTGAAACGTGCAAAAATCTCACTATATCTACATTTAGTGTAAGATTTCCAACTCTTCATAATGTAGAAAGTGCCATAAGCAGAAAGTACCATTTTAGATTGTCATCGAAACAACTTGCAGACATTTAAGCAAGCATTGTGGTATTTTACCTCTCATATCTAAGGTCAAAAATCTGTTGAAACTGGTCAGCTTTCATTTCAAACTCATGTTTACAAAATAATTTACAAATAACTGCAGATTGATTTATTACCAAATCTTACCAAATTTGAGATACAAGGGTAATTACTACATTTTCTGACATATAGGCAGAATTTTTTGTAATACTGTTTAGGCTGATTGCAAAAAAAAAAAACACACGACAGGAATTATATTCGACAGTCACTACATTAATATTTAGTTATCAGGCATAGCCAACCTAGGCTAATAGAGCCTCATTCGATTTTAGTTTTCTATGAAGTCTATATTGTTAGCATATATTCTCTACCAAAAAAATAAAAAGCTAGTTAACAATTTAGACTAGCCAAGCACATTATTCAACTTCGCTAGTTGCCTCAGCTAGCCATAACACTAGTCAATTCAGAGACATTAGTGATGTAACAATAAGTTAAAAGATTTTTCTGGTCAATTTTGGGGGGTTCTGAAATTTTTATTTGCCAAGTTAGTTTGAAACACCTAGCGAGTCCGCGTGTTTTTATTAGTCTTGGGGTCTAAAAATCGGAAAATTGGTATTTATGATACAGAAAAACGATTTTATTTTTTTACATTTCAAAGGGGGGGGGGGGGGGGGGGTTCGACCCGCAAAACCACACCCCTCGCTACGCAACTGCCTCCGTCCGGACCTTGCTTGTATCAATTTGTTTTTTTATTTCACCATTTCAAAACCTTCATGTCGGTTTGACTTGGTTGGTTACTAAATTAATGTTACGAGACGATATGAGGACGACAATGATACATTATGCTGCGAATTCCCTCCAATATTATCATAAGTTAAAAAAAAAGTTGATTCACATTAATTTACACATTAATATAAACTCGACCCGTTTACTACATATATGTGGATTGAAGTTGATAAATGTGCAATATAATATTAGCAGGTTTAATTGGTATCACTGGATCATTTACTAACTGCACAAAGTGAATTAGGATCAATGTAACAATGTGTAAAACTGGTATCATAACATTTACAGATAAAACTTGCACAAACCCACCAACTGGATCTCGTCAAAAGCTTATTGACGAAACCAAGCACTCTTGGAAAGTTGGAGAAGTTGCATCAATTGAATGCAAAGATGGATATGAATTTGTCTCCCATAATCCAACAACTACATTGACCTGTGGAAATGATGAACAATGGATTGGAAGTGTTACAGAATGCACAGGTCATATCAATAATTCATTTGTACTTGTCAAATATCCACAGAGCAAATTATTTTTAACTTATGGAATTTATTTTCCTCACAAGTGCTTTTCATATTTATATCTTGATGCACAAATTATTACTCCAGCTATATAGCTGAGTTAGAAGAACTTGTGGAACTAAAACTTGTCACCAAAATAAAGAGTAAGAACATACGGTAATACTCCAAGCTATCAAGCAGTAGCTGTATGTACAATATAATATTGTACAGATTATACAAAATCTATTTTATCACAGATGCCATATGCACAGAACCGACTAAACAAGTTCCCAACGGATATCGATCATATAAGAGTTGGAGGTGGTTTATTACACCCCTATCTAAAGCAACATATACTTGCAATAAAAACTATAAATTATCAGGATATGATGAAATTAAAACTACAATAAAGATAACTTGCATTTGGGACTGGTCGTTATTCAGAAGCATGTGGATTCCTAGCGTGAATAGCATAGGCTGCACCGGTTTGTATTTACTTTGTACTTCAACAAAATCATTCTATTATACAATTGTTTGTGGCATTTTCTCTCGTTTAGTGTCGTGGTATGTTCAGGCCATAGATGAAATCATCATCTTTATAAGTGATCCCCATCTGTTCATTTTTGAAGACATTTCAATATTTGAATTTAAATTATTTTTAAATATTAGATATATCGAGTACTCTTTTCGTTAAACAGATATAGTTTGTCCAGCTCCAAATGTCGGTCTTCATCAATTATTATCCTCAAGTAGGTATAAGGTATGGAAAGTTGGATATGTTGCAGAGTATGAATGCCATACGGGTTATGAATTTCCTCCCAACAATCCAATAACATCAATTACATGCCGAGAAGACGAAACATGGAGTGGTAGAGCATCAGATTGCCAAGAAAGTAAGCTAAGAATCAGTCTAAAATTAGAATGCTGTAATTGAGTGTATTGTTGATTGTACACTTTAAATACAACATAAACATCTGTCATTAAAGTACGCTTGTGATTCTTTTTTTTCAATATTTTTGGAATGTTGGTTTAGATTGCTCCATTTTTTTATCACCTGAACTTAAATTTTATCATTTAATTTTCATTCCGCAGTTTTTAAAAATAGAGGAAAGTCATTTTTTGGTTTGAAAATTCAGATGTGAAATGTGCAAATCCTGATGAAGTGAGTATAACAAATGGATATCTCGTATCTAGTTCATCGGCGCCGTTCTATCCTGGCTCTTCTGCCACAATTTTGTGCAACCCAAATCATAAGATTTCAGGTCAGCAGGGCATAATTAAATCGATTGGTTCAACATGCTTTGAAAGGCCTGAACCACGAATAGGAAGTGAATGGAGTTTGTCTTCGATCGAATGCGAAGGTTTGTTAATGCATATACGTTATTGGTTTGTGGCGTTGTACATCTACAAGTTTTTGATTATCAAGTCTAGGAAAATGAATGCAGAAACAAAAATCATTCATTGGCTAAGTAGAGATTGCAAGTTTCATTTCAGAGTAAAACAGAATATATTGATATTGTAAGATATTATGATATATAAGAATGGAAAGTATCTAATCACTTGTACTGCAATGAGCCTTTGCGTGGAAATTTTTCTGAACAATATCATTCACAATTTTACTAAGTTTATAAGAGAGTTTGCGGTTCAGTTCATAAAGTTTTGTCAGGTATGCGATAAGTATTATACAATGATGTATTTTATTGGTCCATTTGTATTCTTTTCTATTTCAATATCAACAAAGTATATAAAAAAAATTTTCATCTCGTCCAGTCGTCATTTGCATCTAGAAAAGAAAATTTTTTGAAAGTTATAAAACTAAATTAACCTTATAACAATACTAGTGGATTCAGCGAGAGGAAGTATTTCTGTTTAAAAAATTAACTGTAATAATTTCAGAAATATTATGCGGACTTCCTCCAGTTCAAACAAATCATGTCGACCCACAAAACAAAAGGCGTTCGGTTAGATACATCTACACTCACACTTACAAAACTGGAAAAAAATTATCGCCTAACCCTAACCTGTTACCCATGTTACGTTCCGATGTCCGCCATCTTGGTTCGCATACTTCGGGAGCACCATCATTTTTTATTCAATAGTTTGTGGTATTTTCTCTCTTTTAGTGTCGTGGTATGTTCATGCCGTAGATAAAATCATGATCTTTATAAGTGATCTCCATCTGTTCCTTTTTTGGAGACATCTCATAATTTGAATTGAAATTATTTTTAAATCTTAGATATATCGAGTACTCTTTTCATTAAACAGATATAGTTTGTCCAACTCCTAACGTCGGTCCTCATCAGTTCTTAACCTCAAGTAGGTACAAATGGAAAGTTGGGTATGTTGCAGAGTATGAATGCGATACGGGTTATGAATTTCCTCCTAACAATCCAATAACATCAATTACATGCCGAAAAGACGAAACATGGAGTGGTAGAGCATCAGATTGCCAAGAAAGTAAGCTAAGAATCAGTCTAAAATTAGAATGCTGTAATTGGGTGTATTGTTGATTGTACACTTTAAATACAACATAAACACCTGCCATTAAAGTACGCTTGTGATCCTTTTTCTTAATATTTTTGGAATGTTGGTTTAGATTGCTCCATTTTTTTATCACCTGAACTTAAATTTTATCATTTAATTTTCATTCCGCAGTTTTTAAAAATAGAGGAAAGTCATTTTTTGGTTTGAAAATTCAGATGTGAAATGTGCAAATCCTGATGAAGTGAGTATAACAAATGGACATCTCGTATCTAGTTCATCGGCGCCGTTCTATCCTGGCTCTTCTGCCACAATTTTGTGCAACCCAAATCATAAGATTTCAGGTCAGCAGGGCATAATTAAATCGATTGGTTCAACATGCTTTGAAAGGCCTGAACCACGAATAGGAAGTGAATGGAGTTTGTCTTCGATCGAATGCGAAGGTTTGTTAATGCATATACGTTATTGGTTGTGGCGTTGTACATCTACAAGTTTTTGATTATCAAGTCTAGGAAAATGAATGCAGAAACAAAAATCATTCATTGGCTAAGTAGAGATTGCAAGTTTCATTTCAGAGTAAAACAGAATATATCGATATTGCAAGATATTATGATATATAAGAATGGAAAGTATCTAATCACTTTTACTGCAATGAGCCTTTGCGTGGAAATTTTTCTGAACAATATCATTCACAATTTTACTAAGTTTATAAGAGAGTTTGCGGTTCAGTTCATAAAGTTTTGTCAGGTATGCGATGAGTATTATACAATGATGTATTTTATTGGTCCATTTGTATTCTTTTCTATTTCAATATTAACAAAGGATGAAAAAAAAATTTTCATCTTGTCCAGTCGTCATTTGCATCTAGAAAAGAAAATTTTTCGAAAGTTATAAAACTAAATTAACCTTATAACAATACTAGTGGATTCAGCGAAAGGAAGTATTTCTGTTTAAAAAATTAACTGTAATAATTTCAGAAATATTATGCGGACTTCCTCCAGTTCAAACAAATCATGTCGACCCACAAAACAAAAGGCGTTCGGTTGGATACATCTACACTCACACTTACAATTTATATCACCTAAATCAATTACACCCCTGTGTGAGAAATTTTCTCATACAGATAATTAATAACTATTTAAAGACTTACCTTATGACTAAAACCAGAATTTTATAGAAATTAGATTTTAAACATAAGAATGAAAATTAGTTGCCTTGAGCTCACTTAAGTATATTTTTGATTTCCCATGATTTGCTGCAACAATTTCTTTTTGTTTGTAACAGTTTTAATAATTTCATTGAACCATTTCAGGCTATATAAACAAACAAGATAATGCGGAAGAATGAGCACTTCACAGATAACCAGAAACGAAGGAACATTTAGTACATATGGAATTAAAACCCTAAAAAAAAGGACTAAAAAATTAGGAGCAATTGTAATATATGCATTTGGGTTTTTCAGAATTGAAATTTGTCTTCTTTAAATTTGCCTTCTAAACATTTTTCTGTTATAAATGATCACAAAAGCTTTGGAGTTTTGTGCAAGTAAAATATTTGTAATGGCAATGATGTTTTGTTTGGTCATTTATATAACTTTCTATGTCAATATTGAATTGAAAAAAAAATGAATTTCTCTCCTTATTTCTCTCTGCATATTTTTTTATTTAATGAAAAGCATTCTGAAAATATTATCTATTTGCTTGCTCTGAGTCTACTTAAGTATACTTATCACCGTCCATGCCTTGCTGCAATAATTTATTACTGTTCAGGAAAGTTTTAAATATTTTATTGCAACTCCAGACAAACTCCAAATTCCAGAATCGGATTTTAGTGCAAGAGATTAGGCACCGCTAAGGCCACGTAAATAATCAATATAATGGGGGAAAATGTTTGTTCCACTGATAGCCAGAAATGAAAGAATATTTAGTACGTATGGAATCCCTAATAAAAGAGGACTATCAAAATTAAGAGCCACTGTCAAACATGCACTTGTCATGTCTATCTATTTAATGAAAATAAAACAAAACTATGTATTTCATGAATGAGGAAAATTTTTCGAAATAAGGTCAGTATGGAAGCTTTGTTTAATGCCATACTAGTGGACTTAGCATTTGAAATATTGGGGAGTTTCAATACTTGAATAATTGAAAAAATACCTTGGTATAACTTTAGAAATATTATGTGATTCTCCTCCAGTTCAAAATAATCACGTTGAGCCGGAGCCCACACATTGGTCAGTAGGATACATCCACACTTACACATGCAAACCTGGATACAATTTTTCCTTCAACGTTACTGGAGCAACAAGCGAGTGCAGTTCAGATGGAACTTGGTCAGATCCGCCACTGGATTGCATTGAATGTTTTGTAAAATATATTTAAGCTAATATTCTATTTAAGGTATATATTGCTGTGTGTTTCAATTGAACTTTCCCATATTGGTATGCACATTCCCGATTCAGGAAGTTTTGTTATCAATATATTTTTATATAACTCTGCTCGTAACTTTTATGGATCTTTGTTTAATAGCAGAATGACTTGCATATGCTATAAATATATTACATATATTTTTGATTTCAGATACGAGATGCAAAATTCCTCATGAGTTCAATATTTCTAATGGAGTAGTGGAACCCACAGACATTGATACATTCTATCCCCAATCGACAGTAAGAATCACGTGTGACAAAAATGACATAGTTGCTGGCACAGACAACATTACAGTTCATACTGATATTGTTTGTACGAAAAGGCAGGGGAAAAACATTGGAAGTGATTGGCTGCCAAATATCTTAGACATCATTTGTGAAGGTTTGTTTAAATAATATATATTGTTAAATTTTTTTTGTAATATCATTTACCGTACTCTCAATACTATGCTAAACTATGCTAAAGAAGTTATTGCAATATTGGGTTAAATAGGTTAATAATGAGCCAAGTTATATTTCAGAAATCGTAATGCAAGGGTTGCCAAACTTTTGTCATTCGCGGGCCAAAAATAAAGGTTGCAAGTCATTGGCAGGCCGCACATATTTTTAGAAAATTGAAAATTGAGGTAATGGCCAATGAATCACATTTTTTCAGACAGATTTCAGTTAAATTTCAAGCAGCGTGCGAAGACATTTGAATATTTTCTGCGCCATCAAACCATTTGCACTCAGCATCAACCTTTTTCTGTTCTGTTGCCATTTGTCTAATTAAAATCAATTTTTTAAGCTTGTTAAATGAGTGATTGTGAATTAAATACTTGTCAGGTTATAAAAAACAAATTCTGTTACGTAAAGAATAAAATCGTCAATACAGTCATTTTGTTAATATAATTCAGTGGAGCTTCGTGGGCCGTAGTTTTCCGACCCCTGCCGTAATGTATGAAGAAAGCTTTTTGATAATTTATCGCTAAGTTTAATGATTCACTGACTGAGGATTATATTTCAATGCAATATCATCATATTCACGAATAAGATTGTTTTGCAGAGATTGTTTGCAAAAACCCGCCAATGAATGAAAATCATTATAATAAGACTGCGAAGCAGTCTTGGAAAGTAGGTGAATCATACACCTATGAATGCAAACAAGGATATGTTTCTGCACCGCATGCTACAACAACAAATAAATGCAGTGAAAATGGAAGTTGGAGTGTGACTGATCCTACTGATTGTGTGGAAGGTATTTTATGCTGAAATTCGACTGTTATCTACCTAAGTTAATTCATGTTTGTGAGGATCAAACTTAACTATGGATATTAATTTAAAATCATCTGGCCGATCATATTGTGAATCAAACTAACTAGCCTCATGAATATTTAAAAAAAATAAAAGGGTTGACTGAGCTAAAATCTGTACATGGTAAAGACGAATGTCACCTCGATCTACTTATTCATATCTGTGTCAAAAAAGATACAGATGGGTATAAATGTAACTTACAGTTGCGTCAATGATCTTGAGGTGCTGAAGAGTTTGAATTCGATTACTGCGTAGATAATCCTAACAACAAAAGTTTAGTAGATCGATCTACTTTGTGTCCAATAAATATAATATAGGTGAAGAATTAACATGCTTGTGCTGCCAATTCAGAAGAGACAAGTCGAAGTACAGCTATACAAACACTACAACAAGCCATACAACATACTAGAAGCAGTGACGAAAATGCTTCTGCATCTCAGTGCATCTAATATGTTCCATTGTAATTGTCTTCAAGCAATTTAAGTTCCATAAAACCATCAGTGGTCATTTTCTTACATGAAGGGAAACATTTTTATTGCAACCATAATTACTTTTAGATATGTCATGTGGAAAACCTCCTTTGCCCAAGCGAAATGATTATTCTGAACGAATAATACCGGTCGATACAGGAAATGGACAATTTTTCCCGGGTGAAAGTGCAATGTACAGATGTAATGATCATTTTTATCTCAACAAAGCAAAGGACAATGTACAGAATATTTCTTGAACAAAAGTCGATTTTGGAAGTAAATGGAAACCAGAACTAACAAGATGTAGACGTAAGAATTAAATAAATCATAACAATATTAATATAATTAAACACTAGAGAGCAACGAACAGATACACAAACATGTAGTTATATGTACTGATAAACGTGCTGTTTTGGAGAACTCATTGCTTGACCAGATCATTTGTAAAAAATATATGTGATGGCGCATTTTAAAAATTCTCTCAAATACTTAGTGGATTTGAAAGCTCAGGTGAGGGTTAAAAAAATGTGTTTTTCAATACTTCTCATACACTGATGCACACGAAGTTCCACATGAAAAAAATTATTTTCTGTGGAATTAGATTCAGAAGTCTGTAATGCAATCTAAAACAGATTGAGATACCTTGGACTGGATAATCAATTTGCATTTTTAATCTAAAAAAAAATTGTCTCTTGTGATATTTATCGGCAGTGAGAGTTAACTACCGAGTAAGAGTTTGAACCACTTTCGTTACAACTTTTTTGTCAACTTCCACATTTGTTGTTACAGCAATCAAATGTCCAAAGATTGAGGAAACGGAATTATTATCTTTTACTTATAATGATAAATCTCGAAAATTTGATACAATTGCAACATTCTCGTGTGAACTGAATCATGTTCTGGAAGGCCACCACACATTGCAATGCTTAAAAACTGGGAACTGGTCAGGCCCATTTCCTGTATGCAAGTGTAAGAATTTTTGTTAAAATCTCTGCCATTTACATCGAACTAGTGCAATGTTGTAGTGCATATACGACAAAGAACACGGATAAACTTTATTTTAAATTGGAGTCAAAAATACCCGGTGTGGCGCCTACAAAATAAACTAAATTAACACACATTTCTCTAGTTAGTCATTTATTTTGGTAAATTTTAGTAAGAAGTTAATGATTACCAGTCAAGCTCGATTTCAGTAAATTTCACGCAGCATGTTATTGAAAATGAGTTTTCAAATAAAAATTGCAATTTGTTTTCAGACATATAACAAGAATAAGAAAAAGACCACATTCTAAAATAATGCAATTTTCCCTATTGTCCTCTAACTTTGCATACGAACAATTTTATTATATCTCACCTGTTTCAGATATGGAACCAACGCCACCAGTTAATAACACTGAAGGTAATTAATTAATTTTTTGTATTACCGCAATTTTATTCGATAACAGTTACCATAAAACTTCCGTAGAATAGATGATATCAAGTCCAATTGACTGAGTTCAATATTTTAAATATATTGCCTTAGTTTTGATACATGGTACGCTTTCACTCATATTTTAGCTTTGCAAACATAGTATTATATATTTTTAAATATTTTCACGCTTTATCATTTATTCACTACAACCTTTTTCGTCTTGCGGGCCACTTTCAAGTGACGAAATTCGTTGCGGGCAACAAACGTTTGTACCAAACATTGATACCAGCTAAGTCCTGATTTCGGTGTAGGTAATTTACATAATAAATAAAAGGCAAGTTTATTAACATCAAATCAATCAATTTTATTACTGTTTTCTGGTTACTGAGTAGGGCTGGCAAATTATTCGAATATCTAGTCGAATATTAGTATAGCAGTTTACAATTCGAGTATCTGGTAACACGGGGCGTGGACAACGTTTAAACGAGCATAATGTGCGCCACTGTTTCGGGAATATCAAGTTTAAGTGGGCCGTTTCGTAATATTTGAAACACCAATACAAATAGTATATATTTACGATTTAATGAAGTGACATTACAAAGATTTCTACGCAGTGACGATATTTCCGAAATCCTTTAATAAAAAAAAATACAAACATGAAAGGACAACGAGTCCCAGGGCCAGTACCAAAGATATTGTTAACATTTTATTTTACGCTGGCGATAAAGACGATCAAAGCAGACACGTAAGAAAACAATCAGAATGAAATTAATTCTCAAATTTAGGCTCCAAATTCATTCCTATAATTGCGCTCAGCGTTCGTCTTCTATGATCGCGCAATATCTTTCGAGTTCGTTGAACAGAACGCTCGGAAATAAAAAAAATACTGACGTCGATGTCCACCAGAGTGCAAGACTTACATAATAATATGAACCGGCATTTGAATGTAGATAAATGGCAGGAATAATTACACCAAAATCAGAAACGTACTTAACCCTATATATTGATATATAACATGGTGAAAACATAAAAAGTCTGCTTACCAACTTTATAGGGCGGGCCACAAAAAAACAGTTCGGCTTGCCGCATGCGGCCCGCAGGGCGCGGGTTGGGCAGCCTTGAATTACAGGTAAACTTAAGACTTTCTTTACTATCTGATTAAATCTCATGTTCTCACTTGATACAAGCAATAATTACAATGTGTTCGAGCCTCCTCACTATTATTTGAAAAATATATATCAGCCGTTGTTGAATATTCATTAGCTTAATAGAGGACGTAAAAAATTCTATTGCATTAATGTAAGAGGTCCCCAAGAAATAGCATGCAAACAATTTACTAAGAATGAATTGCTAATTGTTTTATTCTAGAACGCGATACTTATATTGATAATGAGATTCCATAGACAGCTTTCTTCAAATATTGTGACAAACCTGCCGTTTTTTTTCCTTTGTGGGGGGGGGGGGGGGGGGGGGTATTACTGTTTTTACTTACAAATATTGGCACAGAAACGTGATTGAAAGTGTTCAAATATTAAACGAGAATATCAGTCAGAGACCGAAGACTTATAGATCGAAAGTTAGGGGATCGCCCAAAACAGCGCTCCTACTCCATAGTGACAATTTGTGTCCTATCACTAATTAATTAATAACTCGCTAATCATACGACATAATTCGCCCAAAATCAATAGACTTCTGGTCCGAGATAAGATTAATGCACATGCAAAATTTGGAGCAGATTCAATCTCGCTTTCGTGAGCTATCACGTGCATTAAACAGACAAACATACATACTGACACACAAATACCTATCAACATACTTACCGATTACAATCTATAAGTAATGAACTACATACCCATGCAACTTCTAAAATTTTGAAACTTTTACAATTATTGCAATTTTTATTTTACCCATTGGAATACATTTGGTTCACAAGAATTTATAAAAAAAAAAACGTCTCTAGGTTCACTTTGTATTCGATAAACAAAATCAAAACAATATATATTGTTCATCGGCTATTACGGTTACCATTTCAAATTTTAGATTGTGTCGATATTCGGAGTGAATGTCCGAAATGGAATAAATCTCTTTGTAATGACCATTTCATGATTACAAACTGCAAAAGGACATGCGGCTTATGTTTAGGTGAGTGCTACTGATCGTACCCAATATGCTCCCCAGCTTTTCATTTAGTGTCCAAATTTAGGGGGTGTTAGATATTTTGCTATTAGCACTGAATTATTTGTAACCTTTGGAATGTGTTATGCATTTGACTGACCATCAGCACTGCTATATACGCTAATTTCTGGATATTCAAAACCATTTTATTTAAGTTAGGAATTGAAGTGTGATGACGTGACACAGAATTTTGTGGTGTTTGAAATTTGACGGGGTTCACCGACCTAAAAATAGTTCACTGATCGAACGACATATCATTTTCAGGATAATATTCAGTGCAAAATACAAAGAAATTATTAAGTTTTACATTTGCTTCTCCTATTGTAAATAATGTTTAATATTATAATACAAAGTCGTTGTACCATTACAGTATGACAAAATCATTTTATGTAAATCCGCAACATCATACCAAAATTTATAATTACCACAGAGGTGCATCCAAAGATGAATGCAATTGATTCTCCAACAACAACAACAACAGAGATAAGCACAACTACTGTTAGTATTCCGACAACAACTCCCACTACCGCCACTAAAGAATTCTCTACTTCCACATCTGGATCAATTACAGGTAAAATAGGGCAATCGCGATTCTTGGCAGTCATATTTAATTTCATGTTCTCACTTGATACAAGCAATGGCTTCAAGGTGTTCAAGCTGCCTCGCTAGTATTTAAAAAATATATATTTAGGCGTTGTTAAATATTGTTACTTTGTTAGGGCTTAATACGATACAAATAAATACATATAAATAAATGTGCTACAATGCTGTAAAAAGTCCTCAAGTAATAGCATGCCAAAGAATTTCCTAAGAATAAACCGCTGGTTGTTGCCTGTTATTTTTTATTGGTGGGGAGGGGGGGATGATCATACTATATTTACTGAGAATGATTTCATGATTTGTGGCTGAGTGATTTCGCTACAATAGTTTACCGTTTATACTTGAGCAAAAATATGTTACCATTTTTTCATATCTCAGTATCATTTGCTGTTTACAACAATCTTTCCACAAATATTGCCCCGGAAATGTTATTGTAAGCATTTACCGTAATTATTAAATGAACCACATAGACATACAAATTTTAAAGCTTCTACAATCATTGCAATTTGCAATGTTTATTTTACCCAATGGAATACATTTCAATATCAAATACCACAAGAAAGCAATGCTCATATATTCGGTCATGAATGATTAATCGCAGTGCTATACAACTTACACTACACTAAATTCTGTTATGTGCTCAAATTCAATTTGCAAGTCAACTCACAGCACCCCAACAATTTACATAGGTACCAGTAAATGTGTTGTCACTGAAGTAAACGAAAATAGCAAAATTTTTGGTGAATTTTTGGGTCCCATGGGACTGGCAGGAAATTGATAAAAACTAAATATAGTATCCTTTATAACACTGGATCTTAAACTTTTTTGAGCGCGGCCCAAATCTGAGATTTCTGAATACTTGCGAACTTACAACTGATTGGTCCACAAGAATTATAAAGCAAAATCCCTAGTTCCACTTTGTGTTCAATAAATAAATATATATGTTGTATATTTATATTACGGTTACTATTTCCAATTTTAGATTGTGTGGATATTCGAAAGGAATGTACGATATGGAAAACTTATTGTGACAATGATTATGTGATTGCAAGATGCAAAAGGACATGCGGCTTATGTTCAGGTGAGTACTCCTAATTGTACTTAGAATGCTCCCCAGCTTTTCATTTTAGTGTTCCCAAATTTGGGGGGGTGGTAGATATTTTGCTATTAGCACTAAAATTGTTTGTAACGTTTAAAAATGTGTTATGTATTTAACTGACCATCTACACTGACATAGATGCCAATTATGGATATTTAATTACAAATTTATTCAAGTTTGGAATCAAAGTGTGGTGTCACGACTAGGGCTGGGAATGGCAGGAAAAACACTTTAACCGTTAACTGGGTAAAATTAACCGATTAACCAGTTAACCGCAGCGTGTTGTTTCACGCAATAATTTGTAATTTAAGCTTATTACGTCACAATGGTTCCAAAGTATTTTCGCTTGATCTTATTCCGGTATCGATTAAAATTATTCACGAATCGAGGTAGTTTCATGATCGCTCAGCTACAAGAGTAGTTCGGACATATGGAAGTATTTTAGTAAAACCCGATGCCGTTATTAAATGTCATTTATGTGACAAATTTTTAGTGCTCAATGAGCAGATTCTACTTTGAGATATCATAAAGAAAAACGGTATCAACTGCACACGTGTTGGATGACATTAAATATGCGATTTTGCAATAAAATCGTGAATAATGTATTTCGACCTAAAACTGATTCTGAATTTGTCATTGTCAAATTTTTATAATCAGCAATTTTGTTACTTCAATTAT